GGGGGCGGGGGGGAGGGGCGCACTTGCATTCGTGTAAAAAACTTCGATGACTTTGTGCGTGGCCCCTCCGGAAAAAGGCTTGATTAAATCACAAACCTCTCGTCTTTACCCAGTTATTACCCTTTGATTTTGTGATTCCAGGGCCCTGTTTGCTTTGGCTGGGGACTTAGGTAAAGATTATCGTTATTAATATCAAACACAAACATTTTAATTGCAAACACCCTGAGGACCTTCGCTGGGAAGCCCGGCATGTCAGCCGCAGCCGCGGGGGTCACGGAGAGTCTCTTCGGGAGGTATTTTCTTTATTTAATGAAAAAAAAAAAACCTGCTTTAGGCAAACTTACTCCAAACAATCGCTCAAGTTACCCCGCTGCTGGAGAAGACACTGCCGTGGGGGTCCTACCGGGTAAACGCTAGGCTGAGGGCAGACCCGACAGCAGGCTGGCGGGGTGTCGGTGTGACCCCGGGGTTTCGGGGGTGCTCCAGCACCGCTCCTGCCCTGCTGCGGGTCGCGGCTCCTGCGGGGCTCCATCAGGCGTACGAACCGCCTGCAGCCCTTCCCTCGGACCCGGCGGGGACGGGAACAAATTCCGAAGGAAGGCGACGAGCTGCTAACCCGATCTGAAACGCTCCAGTGCCGATCAAGTCCCTTCGCTACAGAAGGAAACTGTGATGTCTTCGCCCTTTCGCCAAAATGCGGAGATCGCACGGGAGAATCCGCGTTCCCCGAAGCGCCGCTTTCTGGCGCGGCCCACGCTTACCCGAGGCAAAGGGGTTTATTTGAAACGAGAAAAAGGAGGGGAACTGGCGTATCGGTGCGTGCCCACCTCACTGTGCCGCCGCAATTACTCCTTACAACAGAGCATCTCATCAGAGAGAGTGCTTAACTGGTTTAAAAACCAGGCTGGACATGGTTGCACCGAAAGGGAGGACGGAGGGCACCGCGGTGGCAGCCAGCTCTCAGGGCAGGCTCTTTCCTTTCCGACGGACGTACCCGTACCCGTAGCCGCACCAGTACCCGAACCCGAACCCAAGCCAGAGCCGGCCGAGAAGGGGAAGACCTTCCCGAAAGGTGGCTGTGACCTTTCAAAAAACGAAAACAAAAAATAAATTAAGGTTTGAAGCTGGCTGGGCGAGCGCCCGCGGGCAGAGCTGAGGTGCCGTCCCTTGGCTTGTGCCAGCTCTGCAGGGCAGAGCGGGGTTCCCTGGAGCTCGCCCCTTCCCGGGCCATAACCAGCCCGTTACAAACCGTAACGCCCCGACG